CGGCCCAAGAGCGCTCCAAGAGAGCCCAAGACCGCCCAAGGCGGCCCCAAGACGTCCCAAGAGGCCTCCACGACGCCCCAGGAGGCGCCCACGAGGCGTCCCAAGAGGGCCCCACGAGGCCAAAATCAATGATTTTCTGAAGGAAATCGTACGTTTCTAGCATATACGGCTTTTCGCCTTTCATGGCGTTGAGGACGGTCCAAGAGGCCTCCAAGACCGCCCCAAGACGGCCCAAGATGTCCCCAAGAGGCCCCCAAAATAGCCCAAGAGGGCGCCAAGACGGGCCAAGAGGCGTCCAAGACTGCCCAAGAGGCCCCCAAGAGCGCCCCAAGAAGGCCCCAGAGGCCCCCAAGAAGGCCCCAAAACGGCCCAAGAGGGCGCCAAGACGGCCCACGAGGCGCCAAGACGCCCAAGACGCCAGGACGGCCCCAAGAAGGCCCCAAAAGGCCCCCAAGAGAGCCCAAAGACGGCCAAAGGCAGCCTAGTCCCTTCACCCCCGCAGCCCAGAAGCTCCCAGGAGGCCCCAAGAGGCCCCCGAAAAGCCCCAAAAGGTCCCCAAGAGGCACCCAAGAGGCTCCCCAAGAGCCCCCCAAGAGGCCCAAAATACTCCAAAGGCTCTTAGCACCGCGGCTCCCAAGAGCGAGCGGTGACGTAATCGAGCTGATAAGACCAACGCTCCCAACAGAGAGCTGCGGCGTAATAAGTTCTTGACGCCAGGGCACAGGGACGGGCGGCAACGCGTGGACAACGAGCGGTCCACGCAAGGAAAACGCGGGGTCCTGGAAAGCTGGCAGCCCAAACGTGGAAAACGCAACGCGACCCGACCGCCTTCTCCAAAACAAGAAACGCGCTCAAAGAAAGCTCCGCGACTCTCCGAGGCTGAGATAGGACAAGAGCGAGGGGAAGGGAGTCAATAAGAGGTGTAAGAGCGGACGAGCCAGCGATCTAGTGCGCTCTGAAAGTAAGTGCGTTTTCCGTCCCCGTGCCAAGCAGGTCGAATTGCTTCCCCGCTTCGTTTTTTATCGAGTAGGACGGCCTTCGGGGCTTAAAAACAGCGTTTCGTTCGAGACATCATCGGAAAACGCTTCTTGGGCGCTTCTTGGGCCGTCTCAGGCGCCTAAGACAGCCCAAGACGCGGCCAAGACGGCGCCAAAGACTGCCCAAGGCGGCCCAAGAAGCGCCCAAGACGGCCCAAGAGCGCTCCAAGAGAGCCCAAGACCGCCCAAGGCGGCCCCAAGACGTCCCAAGAGGCCTCCACGACGCCCCAGGAGGCGCCCACGAGGCGTCCCAAGAGGGCCCCAAGATGCCAAAATCATTTATTTTCTGGAGGGAAACGTGCATTTTAGCATATGCTGCTTTTCGCCTTTCATGGCGTTGAGGACGGTCCAAGAGGCCTCCAAGACCGCCCCAAGACGGCCCAAGATGTCCCCAAGAGGCCCCCAAAATAGCCCAAGAGGGCGCCAAGACGGGCCAAGAGGCGTCCAAGACTGTCCAAGAGGCCCCCAAGAGCGCCCCAAGAAGGCCCAAGAGGCCCCCAAGCAGGCCCCAAAACGGCCCAAGAGGGCGCCAAGACGGCCCACGAGGCGCCAAGACGGCGCCAGGACGGCCCCAAGAAGACCCCCAAAAAAACAAAAGGCCCCCAAGAGAGCCCAAAGACGGCCAAAGGCAGCCTAGTCCCTTCACCCCCGCAGCCCAGAAGCCCCCAGGAGGCCCCAAGGGGCCCCCGAAAAGTCCCCAAAGGCCCCCAAGAGGCACCCAAGAGGCTCCCCAAAAGCCCCCCAAGAGGCCCAAAATACTCACAAAGGCTCTTAGCACCGCGGCTCCCAAGAGCGAGCGGTGACGTAATCGAGCTGATAAGACCAAAGCTCCCAACAGAGAGTTGCGGCGTAATACGTTCTTGACGCCAGGGCACAGGGACGGGCGGCAACGCGTGGACAACGAGCGGTCCACGCAAGGAAAACGCGGGGTTCTGGAAAGCTGGCAGCCCAAACGCGGAAAACGCAACGCGACCCGACCGCCTTCTCCAAACAAGAAACGCGCTCAAAGAAAGCTCCGCGACTCTCCGAGGCTGAGATAGGACAAGAGCGAGGGGAAGGGAGTCAATAAGAGGTGCAAGAGCGGACGAGCCAGCGATCTCGTGCGCTCTGAAAGTAAGTGCGCTTTCCGTCCCCGTGCCAAGCAGGTGACGGAACGAGCGAGGTACGAGCGAGTGACGTTGAGTAGGGGGCGAAGCCCTTCTTAGGGGGGTCCAGGGGGGGTGCGTAGCCAAGACGGAATGGTCTAATGGCCCGTTTTCCTTGTATTGTTTCAAGTGAAGCGGCTCCCGGGCGGCTCCCATGGCCCGCTTCTTCCCCAGACGGGCCCAAGACGGCCCAGAGGCCCCAAAGGTCGTCCCAAGACGGCCCCGAAGGTGCCCCAAACGGGCCCACAACGGTCCAAGAGGGCCCCCAGACGGGCCCAAGACTGCCTAAGAGGCCCCAAAGATCATCCCAAGACGGCCCCAGAGGCGCCCCAAAGGGGCCCAAAACGGTCCAAGATTGCCCCCAGACGGCCCCAATACGGCCAAGAGGGCCCCGAGGGCCTTAAGAGAGCCCAAGAGGGCCCCAATAGGCCCCCCAGCGCGCCCGAGGAGGAGGAGGAGGGGGAGGAGGAGGAGGAGGAGGAGGAGGAGGAGGAGGAGGAGGAGGAGGAGGAGGAGGAGGAGGAGGAGGAGGAGGAGGAGGGAGGAGGAACGAGGACGAGGCCAAGGGAGGAGGAGGGAGGTAGAAGGAGGAGGGGGAGGATGATGAGGAGGAGGAGGAGGAGAGGAGGAGGAGGAGGAAAAGGAAAAGAAAAAGGAAAAGGAGGAGGAGGAGGAGTAGGGGAGGAGGAGGAGGAGGGTGGAGGAGGAGGAAGAGGAGGGGGAGGAGGAGGAGGAGGAGGAGGAGGAGGAGGAGGAGGAGGAGGAGGAGGAGGATGAGGAGGAGGAGGAGGATAAGGCGGAGGAGGAGAAGGAGGAGGAGGAGAAGGAGGACGAGGAGGAAGAAGAGGAGCAGGAAAAGAGGAGGAGGAGGAAGAGGAGGAGGAGGAGGAAGAAGAGGAGGAGGAAAAGGAGGAGGAAAAGGAAGAGGAGGAGGAGGCCGATGAGGCGGAGGAGGCGGAGGAGGCGGAGCAGGCGGAGGAGGCGGAGGATACGGAGGAGGAGGAGGAGGAGGAGGAGGAGGCGGAGGAGGAGGCGGAGGAGGAGGAGGAGGAGGAGGCGGAGGCGGAGGCGGAGGAGGAGGAGGAGGAGGAGGAGGAGGAGAAGGTGGAGCGCGGGTTGACGTAACAAGCTCTCAACGCCAAGGCTCCCAGAACGAACGGTGTTGTGAGTACTTTCGGTCAAGTCGCTGCAGCGCTCTTTCCGTTTCCGTGCCGGCCCAGGTCTAATGGCCTTCGGCCCATCCCGCCACCGTGTTTGTGTTGCGGGTGTCAAGCTTCTTGCATGTTCGTTGGGATCTCGTGGGATGCCTCTCGGGGGTCTCTTGGATGCAGTTTGGGCGCCTCTTGTGGTCCGTTGTGGGGTCTCTGGGGGCATATTTGGGGCCTCGTTGGGGCCTCTTGGGGCCTCTTGGGGGCCTTGTTGGGCCTCCTGGGCGCCGCTTGGGATCTCCTGGGGGCCTCTTGGAGCGGAAGGCTTTGATTTTCGGTTCGTGTTCCCTCTTTTGGGCCCCTTTAGCCGTTTTGGGGTCCTCTTGGGCAATTTGGGGCGCCTCTGTGGCCGTCGTGAAGTCCTTTTGGGCCGTTTGGGTGCCCTCATGGATGCCTCTTGGGCCGTCTTGGGGCGGTCTTGAGAGCCTCCAGGGCCGTCTGAGAGCGTCGGGAAGCCGAAAAGGCAAGAACGCCACAATCATTCAAAAACCTAAGGCGAATCAATGCTTTTGGGCCTGTTGAGGCCCTCTTGGGAGGCCTCTTGGAGGCCCCTTTGGGCGTCATGGAGGCCTCTTGGGCCGCCTGGGGCCATCTTGAGCGTCTTGGAGCGATGGTTCGGAGACTCGGGGCCCTTTTGGACCGTCTTGGGGGCTTCTTGGGGTCCTCTTGGCCCGTCTTGGGGCTCTCTTGGGCCAACCATTTCCCGGCACGCGGGAAGCCCCAGGATATTCGAAATTTGGGGTCGGGGCCCCTTACAGACTCTCCAGGAGTGAGCATTGAGGCTTAGAGGATTAGGCAAAGGCTAAGGACCTGAGGACACGCCCACTCCGTGCCCAGAGGCACGGTGGCGAATCATGGGGGCCCCCTCGTCGAACAACTGTTTACCCGCGTCTGTCCGGCCATACTTACGACGCCCAAGGACAACCCGACATGACCCCTCCCAGCCGGCACCCAGACCACCAGGGAAGCCCCGCGAGGTCGCAGAGGATCCCCCAAATGGCCCGAGACGTACCAAAAGGGGTCCCCACCAGAGCCCAAGCATGCTCCGGGCTAATTTACCCCAAGAGGGGTTCCAGCAGCATTGAACATCGACGAGCATGGGTGCAGGCAAGGAGTCAAGAAGCATCGCGAGCAAGGAATCACGCGAGCATACCAGCAGATCCTGGATTATCCAACGTCAGCCTCAAGCTGGATGCGCCAGCGACGTGAAGCAGCAGGCAGCGCCAATATAAAGTACCAGGACCAGAACTAAGCAGCACTCATCATCAGTCACACGTCAGAGCAAGCAGCAGCTCGCACTGGCGAACAGGCAGTGGCAGCAGTAGCTCCAAGCATAAACAGTTGACACTGAACATGAACATCGACAACAGCAAGCGGCCAGAACGCAGGAGCGAGCGGACGAGCAAGTGACGAAGCAAACAACCCGGCAATCATTATGTCAGTCACGCTAGCAATCATACAAGCAGTAAGGTCGGGGAGATAGTTGTTTGGCCAGCGAGCCAGCAGCCATGCGCGCAGGACAGGACGAACGCTTGCAAGTGGGCAAGGGATCTCTCCACTTGTATGCGATTCAGCTGACGTGGTCGTAGGTTGACGGGGCAGCCCTGGTAAGCTACAACGCTGGGATCAGCGCGTGCGAGAAGGGCGATCAGTGGCAGCGGGCTTCGGTGCTGCTCAGGGAGATGCGTGAGGCGAAACTGGAGCCCGACGTCACCAGCTACAACGCTGGGATCAGCGCGTGTGAGAAGGGCGAGCAGTGGCAGCGGGCTTTGGCGTTGCTCAGCGAGATTTCGAAGGCTCAGTTGGAGCCCGACGTCATCTGCGTGCGGAAGCGGGTTTTAGTGGAAAAGCTGCTCCCGATCGCCCGAAGCGCCCTGAAGCGGCCCCGGGCGCCCTCAGGGCCCTTGGGGCCTTGCACAAGAGGGCCCCAGGAGCTGCACAAGAGGGTCCAGGCTGAGCTCCCAGGCGGCTCTAGCCCCCAGCCTGGCCCCAAGATGACCTAATAGGCCCCTGAGACGGCCCTCGAGGGCCCGGGAGGACCCCGATGACGACCCCACGAGTCCAACAAACAAGTCAAGACAATGCATGCTGTAGGGTTTCTCACGTTCTTCCAACGACGGGCCCAGAACGGCCCCACTCGGCTCCAGGTCCTTCGGGATCGCACCAAGAAGATGACCCAAAGAGGCCCTCAGGAGCCCACCAAGACGGCCCATGAACTTCAAGCGGCCCCCCAAGAGGGCCCCAGGAGCTGCACGAAGAGGCCCACGCTGGGCCCCCAGGCGGCTCCAGACCCCAGCCCTGGCCCCGACATGGCCTAAAAGGCCGAAGGCCGCCGGGACGGTTCACGAAGGATCCTTCGTGAACCGTCCCGGCGTGGGTCCTCCTCGTTCGAACGAGGAGGACCCTGATGGTCCCCGAGGCGAACAGACAAACCAAGCACAGCGATATTATCCGATATGTTCCAAGGTTTTTCCGTGTTCTTCCGTAGGACGCGCCCAGGACGGCCCCACACGGTTCCGGTTTTTTTTGGATCGTACCGAGATGGCCCAAGCGGCCCTCACGAGCCGACCTAGACGGCCCATGAGGGCCCCAAGAAGACCCAGAACATGCCCTGCAGAGCCTAACGGGGCCTCGAGCTGCCCCCCGAGACGCTCTAGGATCTGCCCGGGAGGGCCCTAACAGGACCCTCAGACGGCCCCAGACCCCCACTCTGAGGCCCCCAGCTTGCTCAAGAGGCCCCCGGGACTGCGCAAGCGGGCCCACAGGGATTCCGAAGACGGCCCCATGAGGCCACAAATCAAGCATCGACTATGCCTTACGAATGGTTTTGCACCTTCTCCCGATGACGATCCCAGAACGGCCCCGTTTGGCTCCAGGCACTTTGAAGATCGCCCAAGCTTGCCCACGATGCCCCGACGAACGCAACAAGACGGCGCCCACGAGGGCCCCACCCCTCCAAGACCAGCTCCAGACGGCCTGATAGAGCTTCAGCTGGCCCCCCGGCACGCTCCTGGAGCTGCCGAAGAGGCCCCCATATCAACCGAGCTTCAACACGGGCCCCACGACAGCCGTGGAGGCCCCCGTGACGGCCCCAAAGGGGCCCAATGCGGCTTAAGGGGGCCGCATAATGGCCCGAGAGGGCTCCACGAGCTGCTGCAGACAAGGGGGCCCCTGAATGGCCCAAGGGCAGCTTAGAATGACCCAAGGGGGCCCCAGATGACCAACGAGAGCACCCCAACAAGTCTCGAGCCCCCTACCGCCGATTAGGGGTGACAAGGGGGACCTCCTCCAGTCTTCTCCTCCTCGGTCTCCTCCTCTGGGAGCCTGCACCCCTCTCTCCAGTACGGCTCTCCTCATCCTTTTGCAACAGGATGCAGCGGGACTGGACTACGGGCTTGCTGCAGTCGTCGATGCCACGAGCACTCTCCACGGGCCGCTCAGAGATTGAGACAGCCCAGACCCTCCCAGGACACTCGCAGGCAGCCTCCAGCCCCAGAGCCCAGAGCCTGCGGTAAACATGCGAGCCTGTCGGTCCCGAACGCGCTTGTGTCGCCTGCGATCGACGGCACGTGCGCGTTCGGGACCAACACCTTCTTGGCCTGCCAGCCTTGGTTTTCCACGGTTTCACACTAGTCTTCTTCTCTACAATGCAGGGACCCGCGCGTGCGGGAAGGGTCCCTGTCTTGATCGACTTAAAATACCCCACAAAGGGTCTGGGGACGCCCCAGAGGCGCTCACGCGGCCCAAGAGGCGCCCAGGACGGCCCCAGACACCCCCAAAGCGGCCCAAGACCGCCGAAAACGGCCCCGACAAGGCCCAGGAGGCCTCCACGACGGTCCCAGAGATGCCCAAGAGGCGTCCCAGGATGGCCCCCACAGGCCCAAATCATTGTTTTTCCAAAGAAAAACATTCAATTTTAGCATACACTGCTTGTCGGGTATATGGCGCAGAAGATGGGACAAGAGGTCCCCACGACCGCGCCAAGACGGCCCAAGAGGCCCCCCAGAGGCACGAAAACCGGCCCGAGAGAGCGTCAACAGACCCAAGAGGCGCCCAGGCGGCCCCAAGATGCTCCCAGGAGGCGCCCAGGACGGCCCCAGACACCCCCAAGACGGGCCAAGAGCGCTCCAAGAGAGCCCAAGACCGCCGAAAACAAACCCAAGACGGCCCAGGAGGCCTCCACGACGGCCCAAGAGACGCCCAAGAGGCGTCCAAGGATGGCCCCAAGAGGCGAAAATCGTTGTTTTCCAAAAGGAAAGCGTTCAATTTTAGCATGCGCTGCTTGTCGGGACTATGGCGCAGAAGCTGGTTCAAGGTCCCCACGACCGCCCCAAGACGGCCCAAGAGGCCCCCAAGACGCACGAAAACCGGCCCGAGAGGGCGTCGAGAGAGTCCAAGAAGCGCCCGAAACAGCCCCAGGGCGACACCAAGAGGCTCCCAGGACGGCCCAAGGTATCCCCAAGACGCTCCAAGAGCGCTCCACGACAAGCCAAGACTGCCTTTTGTGGCGCCAAGACGGCCCAAGACGCCTCTACGACGGCCCAAGAGACGCCGAAGAGGCTTCCCAGGAGGGCCCCAGGAGGCCACAATTATCGCTTTCCCGACGGAAACCGTACACATGTCAGCATCTCCGGCTTTCCGGGTTTCATGGCGTAGACGACGGCCCAAGAGGCCCCCAACACCGCCCCAAGACGGCCCAGGAGGCTCCCACAGGGGATCCACACCGGCCCGACGGAGCGTCAAGACATGTAGCCGAAGAGCCGCCCAAGACGGCCCGGCAGGGCCGCAATACGGCCCCCGGAGCTTCCCAACACGGCCCAAGGTTCCCCCAAGACGGCCCCAGAGCGCTCCAAGAGGTGTCGAAGATAGCGGAGCGAGGCACCAGTGTGCCATTTCAGGGGCCTCCCTGAGCTCCTGCTCCTCCTCCTCCTCCTCCTCCTCTCCACCTCCTCCCCCTCCTCCTCCTCCTCCACATCCTCCTCCTCCTCCTCCTCCTCCTCCCCTCCTCCTCCTCCTCCTCCTTCTCCTCCTCCTCCTCCTCCCCCCTCCCCCCCCCCTCCTCCTCCCCCTGCTCCTCCTCCTCCTCCTCCTCCTCCTCCTCGCAGAAGATAGGATGAACACAGATTGCGGCGTGAAAAGCAGCTTCTGCCCACACCATGTCATGCATACATGGGTGTGCTTACACTTACACCGTCTGCGCCACAGCGTTCCTGCCTCCAGGCCTGCTTGCTTGCATCCCTCGCCCACCTCCACCTCCAGCGGCCACCTCCTCCATCTACGCCGTCCCCTCCAACCATTCCTTACCCGCGAGGCCGCAGAGACGCTCCACATCCACGTCCACGCCATGGCGGGCAGATTCCGCGGCCGGAAGGCCGCGGGTCAGCCCTAGTCAGCTACAGCGCTGGGATCAGCGCGTGCCAGAAAGGTGAGCAGTGGGAGCGGTCTCTGTCGCTGCTCAGAGAGATGTTGGAGGCACAGCTGGAACCTAACAGAATCAGCTTCTCCAGCGGGATCAGTGCGTGCGGGAAGGGCAAGCAGTGGCAGCGGGCTGTGTCGCTGCTCGGTGAGATGCGGGAGGCGAAGCTGGATCCCGACGTCATCTACACTACATTGCCAGGCCCGTTGCGTGCAAGTTGGGTCTGCATCCACCGCCCTGCCAGCGGCATTCTGGCCCCTTTACAGCCAAACCCATTTCGATTAACGTATGTGGACGTAGTCCACGTGTCAGCCCTAGTCGTACCGACATTGCAGGTGCATTTGCGTGCGAGAAGGGCCTGGGGCTCAAATGTCGGCAGGAGCCTCCGGAGTGCCCCAAGACGGCCTCAGACGGCCGACGGCTCCGGGACGCTCAGAATAGCCCCAAGACGACCCGATGGGGCCCCAGGACTGTCCAAGATGGCTTCGGGACCGCCGAAGAAGCCCCCAGAAGACGGCCCAAGAGCGCTCCTAGAGGGCTCCTGAGAGAGCCTCAAGACGAATAAAATGAATGCCTTAGATTTTGAATGATTTAGGTTGATCGCCTTGTCGGGTCCCCGACCGCCAACGACGGGGTCAGGGTCCTTCCGCAGTGGCCCGAGACGGCCCAAGAGGCCCCAAAGGGGAACCCTAGATTGTTGAGGAGGACCCCAAGACCGCGCAAGAGGGCGCCAAGACGGGCTCATGGAGCCCCGGCGAGGTCGCCATAAGAGCCCCAATACGGCCCCAGCGAGGTCCCAAGAGGGACCCCCAACATGCTTCTGAGGCTCCTAGGAGGCACCCGCGAGGCCCAAATACGGGCCAAGAGAGCCCCAAAGGAACCCCCGAGAGAGCCTGAAGATTGAGGTTTTTCGCTCGCCTTTTGGGAGTCTCGATTGCTTCAGACCGCCTCAGGGGCCTTCCACATCGGCCCCAGGCGGCCGAGGAGGCCCTGAAGCGGCTCCAAAAGGGCTCACAGAGGTCGCCAAGAAGACACCAACATGGCCCCGCCGAAGCCCCAAGAGGGGCCAAGAGGGGCCCGAGACCCCAAACGTGCTTCTGACAGCTTCCTGGAGGGCCCCCAGAGTCCCCAATCCGCCCCAGGAGAGGCCCAAGAGGAACCCTGAGAGAGGCTCAAGAAGCAAACATCCAGGATTTCATGTCAGCCTTAGTTTATACTACAACGCCGGGGGTCGCGCGTGCCAGAAGGGCGGGGATCCAATGACCCCAAACCGTCCCTGGCTGGCCCCGGGGGCTCCACGACGGCTTCTGAGGGCTCTAAGACGGCCCCCAGATGGCCCGAGACGCCCCCAAGACAGCCTACAGTGCCGGAAAGACGGCCCAAGAGGGTTCGAAGAGG